CAATCTATAATAATAAACCGACAGAAATGTATTCATTGGAGATTGCAGTGGGACTGAAGAAAGTTGTTTAATTGCGTTTAGAAGCTTCTCTCTTCTTCAGGGCACTTGTTCAGTGCTCCTCAACTTACAACCCATTCGTTTAGCAATGGCTCAAAGTTACAACGGCCCAGAAAAAAAGGGACCTTTTTCCCGCCTGCAACGGTTGCGATCAAGGTGATCGAAATTTGGACGATGGGCAACTGGCATGTACTTGGTTGGCGTGACTCCCTCTTGTGACAACTTGACCAGCAAAGCCAATGAGGATTCAACAACCTTGTTGCCAACGTAACAGCTACAGGGAGGATTCACCTTAACCATCAAGGCCACAAAGGCCATAAAACAACCTCACTGAAGCCATTGTCTCGCTTAGCGATGGAAGTGTTGGCCTCTGTTGTGGCCGTCAAGTCGAGGACTACCTGTCCCTGCAGTTGTGGGTGATTTGAACTCCCTCCTCCTTCTCCTCCCTTCCTTTTGGCAATTCTCAGAACTACTATGTAGGATGCTACTATGCTTGCTAGAATAATAGAAGGAGATATTGATCCTCTAAGCGCTTCCTTGTGGAATCGATACTTCAAAGGGCCTGGAGCCATTCAGAGTCGTTAAATAGATGATGTGATCCCGTTGGGCAATATAAATGTAGATTAATTGTTGTTTATGGCCCTAACGTTGATACACACCTGAGCTTTGCAGCTACGATTAAACTAGCCACAAAGTACCTAGGAATATTATACAGATCCAGAACTGCTTTGCTGGAACGGATGACTGAACCCTATCTGGATGCTTGGCACCGCGTCACCGATGGGCGGCCTTGGGGGAGATAAATTCAAGAAGGCCACACCTGGGTACAGTTTTGGTTCCCATGCTTGTGATAGTGTTGAGACTCTGGAAAGGGTGCAGAGAAGAGCAACCAGGAGGATTAGAGGTGTGGAGGCTAAAACGTAACGATGAACGGTCGCAGGAACTGGGCCTGGCTAGTCTAGGGGCTGCCATAGAGAGGAGGAAGGGCTCAACGTACTTTCCAAAGCACCTGAATGAATTGCCGTAAGTCGAGGATTTCTTCAAAGGGAGTCTCTACCTGTCACTCTTCCCCCAAATGCTAAAAATAGCAACGGCGAACCTAACGTGCATATCCTACATTGAATAAAGGAAAATACTCAATTTAACGGAGTTTGTCGCAGCCGAAGACAGCTGTCTGCAGAAAACCCCGTTCTCTTCGGCTCGAATAAACAGGAAGATTCAAGTGGATGATTTGAAACCTCGGTGCAAGCAAGCCATTCTTTGGGCACCTGGGCAGCTCTCAAAAGGAGAAGCTCCATTTCCACAGTTCACCGCTTTAGAAAAACATCCCTTTCTTAGCAGCTGCTCTCACTGTGCTATTCATAGAGCAACTGCTGACTCTCGCCGATCTGCCGCTGTCGCCATAAATCTGTATTTTCAAGCTGCCGGACCCAAGCGGCCTGAGGTTGCAATTTTAAAGGGGAAAATACCATATATCAGGGCGATCTGCTTATGCCCGGCCTTAATAATACCGCTTTATAACGCCTTAGTGAGGCCACACTTGGAATACTGCATCCAGTTTTGGTCTCCAAGATGTAAAAAGAGACTCTGGAAAGTGTGCAGAGAAGAGCCACAAAGAGGGTTAGGGGACTGGAGGATGAAACATGCAAACAGCGGTTGCCGGAACTGGGTTTGTCTAGTCTGATGGAAAGAAGGACTGGGGGAGACAGGATAGCAGGATATTCCAATATCTGAGGGGCTGCCCCAAAGAAGAGGGAGTCAAGCTATTCTCCAAAACACCTGAAGGCAAGACAAGAAGCAACGGGTGGAAGCTAATCAGAGAAAGAATTGAAGAGGAACTTTTGACAGTGAGAACAATTAACCAGTAGAAGCCTCCAGAAGTTATGGATGCTCCCATCACTGGAGGTTTTCAAGAAGAGATTGGACAACCATTTGTCTGAAACGGGGTCTCCTGCCTTGAGCAAAGGGTTGGACTAGAAGACCTCCAAGGTCCCTTCCAATTCTCCTATCCTATCCTATCCTATCCTACTCTACTCTACTCTACTCTACTCTACTCTACTCTACTCTACTCTACTCTACTCTACTCTACCCTACCTCCTCTCGCCTTCCTTCCCTTAACCCTACCCTAATTCCCTAGAAAGCTTTTTTTAAAATATTTGGGCAGCTCTGGCTGCTATGTCATAATTTCTCCCTCGCTCTGAACTCCTTGCTGTTCCAACCCCAGGTAGGCCGCCAATTTTTCAATCTCTTCCAAACCTTTGCAAACGTTAAAAACATCGGCCTCCAGCACCACCGTCACCGTCTCTCTGGAAGAGGATTCTTCCCTTTGAACGATGACGGTGTACCTGTCGGACAATAGAAACGTTGCTCGATCAACGATGTGATTGCTGGCATAGTGTTCGATGCCCGCCTTCTGCAGAAAGTCCTCCATGGTTGCCTTTTCCCGCCCCGCGGTGGTCAAGTCTAGGCGGAGATGGGCTGCTAGGTAGGCGGCGACCTCGCTCTCGCCAACTAACTCGGTGAAGGTGGAACTAACTTTTGGACGTTCGGATTGCAAATCCGCTGCCTCCGAATCAAGCTGTTGATCCTGGATTTTGAGCAGAGCTCGCAGCTCGTCTAGATTCTGCCTTGATGGCTTCCCACAGGCAGGAGCATTGTCCTGCTGGACGTTGTTGGCCGTCTTCTGGCACAAGGTTTCCTCTGGATCAGCAGCTTTTTCCTTGACTTGTTCCTCAAGCTTTTCTTGGGTTCCTCCCTCCTGAGCTTCTACTATGAGGAACCACTCTTGATCCCTTCGACTGAGCCACAATCCAGCCATTGCTAGATCATCCGAAGCTGTGTCATAATAATGGTTCTCCTGAGCAACTCCGTCCACGTATTTGGCCCCGGCCATCAGCAGTTTAGCCATACTATCTTCCGTTAGCCAAAACTTTTGCTTCAGCTGGACTTGGGGTGTCTGGAGAATTCCCCTTCGGGCTTCCATGTTCCTGGAAAACCGAAAATATACTGCAATAAGGATTTATTATTATTATTATTATTATTATTATTTTTTAAGGGAGCGGGGTTGCTACAGTAAACAGCCAAGAATGGGGAGAATCAGAGGATTACTTTTAGTGAGTGCTTGTTTTACCTCTCCAGAAGACGAATGAATATATGTATTTAAACCATTTATATCTTTATTTATTTGTGCAATTTATCTTGCCGCCTATTCGCTCATAATGACTCAAGGTGGCTTACCGAATATAGCTGCCCATGGTATGTTAATCTCTGGTCATCTCAAAAACTACTTGAAACACTGTTCAAGGAAGGCATAATTTTTCGTTCTTGGGAAATTTCTAGCCGTCTATGAAATTGTGGGGTCCTTGGTGCTCTCTGAGCTTGGTTGTTTTCTTGCAGACCTTTTGTTGCCTAACTGGAGAATATCATCAGTGCTAGAAGGGAGTAGGGTTTGAGGAGGAGGGAGGGGAGGAGGAGGAAGAGGAGAAATTAGCGGTCCTTGGTGCTCTCTGAGCTTGGTGGTTTTCTTGCAGACGTTTCGTGACCCAACTAGGGAACATCTTGAGAGTTATGGTGATACCCTTCCAGAGTTTTACATACGGTGTGCATGCTAAAGTCACAAGTTGGGAGCAGGGATACATTCCCATTTAAATAAACATAGGAACAAATAATTTTAAAGTCACCCACCTTGTGTTTCTTCCCAAGATTTAAAGAAGGCGGGTCTTGAGGCTGAAGCTTTCGTAATTGTTATTGTTATTTTTATTTTTCCCCTCAATTCGGTTTCGTAAGGGTGTGAAATAGAATTTTTCTTCCTGGTGGCTCTCCTTCAAAGCAACCTCCGTATACCTCACTTTGTTTATTATGAATGGCTGCTTAGGATGACCATGACAACAATGGACGTAGCAACAGCTTGCAGTTACTATTGGTGGAAACGTCATGAGGGATTGTGTTGCTGCAAAGAGCTTTTTAGCCTTCTCTGTAATTTATGGTAACCATGCCTTGCTCAAGTTAGCTGTCACAACAAACCTAAGCAGAATGCACAACCAAACTATTGATTCGTTCCAAGTTCCAGGATGGTCTGTATTTAATGCCGGTGTTTTAGAGCCTACCTAAATATGCCGGCCCCTGAGAATGATTCCCAACCGAGCTGAAGATGGCGAAGAATTCACCTGGATTCAGGATAGCTTTTTGGGGTGGGTCTTGTGGAATTTCTCGCGGTGAATAGATGAGCTCCATCCTCACAGTTAAACAGGAAAGGCTGCCAGTTGACAAGGAAAATTAAGGTAGATCATAGAGTGCGTTCAGTCCTGTTCATTTTTTACAGAAATTTGCAATGTGAGGTTTGCTAAAAATGTATTAAGGGAATAAACGCGGTGTTCTATTTTTCTGGGTGGGAAAAAAATAAATAAATCTCCAACCTGGATTGCTTTTTTTTTTTTAAAAAAAAGACTGTTCAGCGGTTTGCAATTTCTTTCTTTGGCTTAGATTGCCCAAGGGAACGATTGTGAAAAAGCCGATTTGCCAATGATCAACCGTTTACTAAGTAGTCCAGGGGAGGCAACCATTAAAGCAGGAAATTTGAATCATGGTTTTTAGCAAAATTAATAATTTGGTTGGAGGATTTCGTCAAAGGCTTCCCCCGTGACAGATGACATCGGGTTAGGCGGTTTTGAGACGGGAAAACCTAGGCAAGGCATAGAAGTAGTTTGATTCCCTATAAAATGAGTCATTAATTAATGGGCCATAGACCTAATTTGAAAGGATAGGCGTGTGACTTTGAACTGGTTCGGCTAGAACCAGTTAGAACATAGCTCATAGAATAACAGAGTTGGAAGAGACCTTGAAGATCTTCTAGTCTGACCCCCTGCCCCAGCAGGTGACATACAAATGGTTTTTCACTCTCTTTTTGAAAACTTCCAGTGATGGAGCACCCACGACTTCTGCAGGAAAGTAGTTCCAATGGTTAATGGTTAATTGTTCTCACTGTAAAGAAATTCCTTTTTAGTTCTAGGTTGCTTGTCTCCTTCGTTAATTTCCATCCATTGCTCCTTTCCTGCCTTCAAGGGCTTTGCAGAATAGCTTGACCCCCTCTTCTTTGGAACAGCCCCTGAGATACTGGAAGACTGCTATCCTATCTCCCCACGTTCTTCTTGTTCTTCTACTAGACATACCTAGTTCCTGCAACTGTCCTTCGTATGTTTCTTCCTCCGGTCCCCTAATCATCTTCCTCGCCCTTCTCTGCACTCTTTCCAAAGTCGCAGCGTTTTTTTAATCGAGACGCTAGAAAGGTGCAGAGAAGAGCAACATACAAAGAACGGTGGCAGGAACTGAGTACGCATCCCAAATTCCCCAGGCCTTGCTCATGCAAATCCAAATTAAAGAATAATGCAATTAAAAGGCGGGAGGGAAGGACAGTTTAAATTTGTATGCCTCATTTCTTTAATTCCAAGGTTGAAAGGCACCCGATGGGCCACCATTAAATGAAACTGACTTGTTGTTGCCAAATTCATTTTAAAAACCAAACACAGATGCAAAACTATTCACACGGTTCTCATAAATCCGGTTTCCAGGAAAACAATTGATCGAGGGAAAAGTTTACTCAGATTAATAATCAACCGCTTTTATTGTTTGGGCAATCCACTTCAGATTAAAAAATTTTTTTTTTTTTTTTAAAAAAGGCACGTAATTTAAACCAATTTTTTTTCTACGCGGCTGCTAAGAAGCTGAAAAAGATGCAGTTTAATCTTCCAGCTTTAGGATATATTTGGAAAAGGAATAAAATAAAATAAAATTAAGGAACGGGCATATCCCCCTCCTTGCCTTTACATTCTAAAAACAATCAAGAGGGATTTTGAAATCGTGTCTCTGGTGTGGATTCCATAAGATGTAAACAAGCGTAAAAGTCACACGCTGCTCCTTGTCTACACACAGTCTGGAGCAACAGAAAAAGCCAATTACGCAATTAAGTTCCACGAATTTCATAGATAGTTGCAGGGGTCCAGGGCGTACGGTTTTGAAATGTGTTTGTGAGGATGTGCGTGTGTTTCCATGCCTTGTTTCTTAGGGGAGTGAGAGAGTGCCGCCTTTAATTAATTAATGCAGGCAGTCCTTGACTTGCAACAGTTCTGTTTAGTGACCGTGAAAAGTTACAACGGCACCGGGGGGAAAAAGGCGACCTTACGACCAGTTTTTACACTGATGACCGTTACAGCATCCTCTTAGTCACAAGATCAAAATTCAGACAACTTGGCTGACAACTTTTGCGTCCTTCTGTCAAGCCAAGTCAAGGAGGAGAAACCGGGTTCGCTTAATGACCGTTTTGGTAATTTAACAACTGCCAAGATTCCCCGAAGAGCTCTGGCAAAAGAAAGGTGGACAAATGTGGGCAGGAAACCTCACTTAACAAATGTTTCACTTAGCAGGAGAAACGTTGGGCTCCATTGTGGACTTACCCAAGGACTTACCCAAATCTATGCAAATTTCCTTTCCTCCCCCTCCCATCCACTAAAATGCCCATAGTGAATATTATTCAGTGAACCTTTGAGAATTAAGAAGTATTTGAACCGAATCAGAGATTGGCTTATGATGGTAGATATAGGTAGGTAGGTAGGTAGACAGACAGACAGAGACAGACAGACAGGGAGGGAGGGAGGAAGAGGTAGAGGTAGGTATGGATATAAGTATAGGTATAGATTAGATATGGATAGGTAGATATAGATATGTATATACGTATATGCATGCAATCAATATCTATCTATCTATCTATTTATCTATCTATCTATCTATATTGGCTGATTTATAAGCTCTTTGTAAGGTGCCCCTTTGCTCAAATATATAAGAAATAGTATAGCCGCCATGTTCTTTCTGCAAACATGTCTAACTATATTTGTAAAGAGCCAGTTTAAAAAACAAACACATAAGCCACGCATACAATAGTTTAAGGAGCATACAATGGTTTACAGAGTATTTTAGGGACAAACAGATATCTGTCCCCTAGGGAGCTCACAATGGATGTGGTTTGTCTTTTCAGTGCCATTTATAGCTGCCCGCCTGTCTCCAAAAATCCTACATATAGTAGTAGTGTTATCCCAGATAACCCGGGTGGGGGTGGGGGTGGGGAAACCACCCTCTAAAAGTAATTTTCCTCCTCTAGGGTTGCTAGACAGCAAATCTTCCTTGCAGAAGCAGGCAAGCAATCTATTAAAGCTCAGCACTAATCAGTTATGTTCATTTTGCATCTTGAATTTAATTAATAAATCGGTGGCTCGGGCCAAGTTACTGATTTCTAGAATTGAGTAGCGTAGAGTAGCGTAGCGTAGAGTGGAGGAAAAAGGAAAGGAAAGGAAAAAGAAATAGAATAAATTAGAATAGAATGGAATAGAATTAGAGTAGAGTAGAGTAGAGTAGAATCAGGAAAGAATAGAATAGAAATAGAAATAGAAATAGAAATAGAATAGAATAGAATAGAATAGAATAGAATAGAATAGAATAGAATAGAATAGAATAAGGAAAGAACAGAATAGAATAGAATATCAGAATATAGAATAGAATAGAAATAGAATTCTTTGTTGGCCAAGTGTGATTGGACACACAAGGAATTTGTTTCTGGTGCACAAACTCTCAGTATACATACAAGGAACAAGTGATAAATCATTATTATAATCTCATAACCATTTATGATCATAAAGCCAGAAGCTATGAAAAACCTCGTTTTGACTCTGCTGGGAACGACTTCTTGTTCTGCCTTTGCAGCCTTAAGGAGAGAAAATGACAACTCTATGTGGCATCTTAATTGTCTTTTTCAGAAAAAAACCCACTTCTGAGGGATGTGCTGCCTTCTCTCGTTGCTGTTTCATTGCCTGTACTTAAAACCGAGGAGAAAATTCCATTATGGGTAAGTTTCACTTATCATCAACGGAAGGAGGAAAGATTTATGGATGTGACAGAATCATACCAAAAGCTTGGGACTTTACTGAAACGAAGAAGCCGCCCTTCATTTACAACTGTTCGTTTAGTGACTGATCAAAGTTGCGACGACACTGAAATACGTGCCTTATGGCCGTTTTCCCCATGGTCACCGGATGCTTGGCAACTGACTCGTAATTACAACGGTTGCAGTGTGACAAATTTCTCACTTAGCAAACATAAACGTTGGGCTCAGTTGTGGTCGTACCTCGAGGACTGCCTGCAGTTGTGCATTTCGTGCTCGCTAGAGGGCACTGCTGCACAGGTTGTGACTCTAGGAAGAGGCTGGTACCTTGCAGTCATCTCTGTACAATACAGCACAAGGATCTGTAAAAACAAATTGGAACTGATCGGCTGGCTGGAGAAATGGAAAATGTGTATCTCGAATACTCCGCCTGTAGTCACGGAACTCCCACGAAATCCTTCCCACTTGTACATCGGAACAGGCTCCAACTTCCAAAAAAGAAGTTGAGTTCTTCAGATGTGAAGGAGAACATTAATTTCAGATTAAGCTGTGGTCTTCGTTGCCACGAGTCTTTTCTGGGGCTTGAGGATTGGCCAAAAGTTAGCATAAACCCAGGGAAACTGATAGATGGAGCTCTGCTTTAGGATTCTTGCAGAATCTCAGAATTCTTCCCAATCTGGCAATGATTTGGCATTTCAAGTTACTTCTTTAAAGAAGAAAGAAAAGACACCAAGAATGGCATTTTTGAAGAGAAAGACTGATATGGAATGGAGTGGAGTGGAGTGGAGTGGAGTGGAGTGGAGTGGAGTGGAGTGGAGTGGAGTGGAGTGGAGTAGAGTAGAGTAGAGTAGAGTAGAGTAGAGTAGAGTAGAGTAGAGTAGAGTAGAGTAGAGTAGAGTAGAGTAGAGTAGAGTAGAATAGAATAACAGAGTTGGAAGGGGACCTTGGAGGTCTTCTAGTCCAACCCCCTGCCTAGGCAGGAAACCCTACACCGCTTCAGACAAATGGCTGTCCAATCTCTTCTTAAAAACTTTGAGTGTTGGAGCATCGACAACTTCTGGAGGCCAGCTGTTCCACTGGTTAATTGTTCTCACCCACAGGACATTTCTCCTTCGTTCTAAGTTGCTTCTCTCCTTGATTAATTTCCCCCCGTCGCTTCTCTGCACTCTTTCTAGAGTCTCCTTTAATCTAGTACCTTGTCAAGGTTGCTCTGCGCGTGGAATCCTGCCCTGAAAACATTTGCTTTATCGGGGCCTTTTCAAAGGAGGCTTATCCAACAATTCAAATTGTTTTTCAAACAATACTAAAATTTGAAGATAAGGTGGAATTTCTCACGTGTTCTTGCGATTCTCCAGATGAGCTTTCTTTTCTTTGTTTTTTTTAAAAAAGTAGTAGTTTTCTGTTGAATGTTAGGGGCAAGAATAGTTCTTTTTCAAATTGGTGCAATCTTTAAAGGCTTCTTTGTACTTCCTGGGCTAATTTTATCTTTGGAAGCTGGAATTGGAGCTGGATGGGTTGCAAGATCGCATATGGAATTTTCTTTTGCGATCATGGGATGCGCTATTTTGGGGCCTTTCATACACTCACGCGCAAATAATAATAATAACGCAGATGGCAGACAGAGGAGAGCCAAAGGAATACTTAGTAAACTGGTGATAGAAAAGCCATATTTGAGGTTTTTCCATCCTTCCGCTGAACCAGCTCCAACAACTGTTTCATATCTATAGCTGGACCTGATCAATCTGTACATCTCCATAAATAACCATCCATGCCCTTAGCTTGCCAACTTCATCTCATCTGGAAGGTCTTGGGCATAGAAGAGCAACGGAGACGATGATGTGACCGGAGGGTAAAACAGTTGCTGGAATTGGGTATGTCTACGAGTATGAAAAGAAGAACTAGGGGAGAGACGATGGCAGCCTTACAGTATTTGAGGGCCTGCCCCAAAGAAGAGGGAGTCAAGCTATTGCACCACAAGGCAGGACAAGAAGCAACGGATGGAAAACTCACCAAGGAGAGAAGCAACTTAGAATTAAAGAGGAATTCCCTGACAGTGAGAACAGTCAATCAGTGGAACAACTTGACTCCAAACGTTGTGGGAGCCCCAACACTGGAGGTTTTAAAGAAGACCTTGGACAACCATTTGTCTGAAGTAGTGTAGGGTATCCTGCCTAAGCAGAGGGTTGGACTAGAAGACCTCCAGGGTCTCTTCCAACTGCGTGATCCTGTTATTCTGCTACCTTAACCGATGCTGGCCTTCGTACAGGCTTTCAAGAGTACCTTCACGATGTGACTTTTTGACATCACCACCACACCCTTTTTTTGTGTGAAATTTGGGGCTGACGGTCCTTGTAACCCCATACTCACCAGTAAGGTCTCTCCCACAAGCCTTTGTTTGATCTCGGATGACTTTGTGGCAGGCAGCCTCTGTCGTTTTCTTGGCAGCCCCACCCAACGGTTCGCCAATCTCGCCCCCGGCCCTAACGCGCCACGCAGGTCTCCCATTCAATCTCAAACATGCCTGATCCTGCCTGGAGTTTTCAGGCTCCAACGAGGTGCTGCTCTCACTGCTTAAAAACAACAACACACACACACAAAAACATCACACACACACACCCCCCAAAAAACCACGTGATCCCTCGGTTAAAAAATGGACCAGGATTCTAATGGTCAGGACTCAGGGTGGTTTTTGACCCAATAGGTCTGATGGTGACTCCTTGGAAGCTCGAACTGTTGTCAGACAGCTGCCAGTCTCTTTGTGTCTTTGAAATTCAAATCTGGAGGAGTGATGTGCTTAGACAATCTTAAGGAAATGTAAAACAACCCCAAAAACCCCCCACCCCACCCCCCAAAATGGATGGCTTTGGGTGATAGGCGGCCCAAGTAGTTTTTAATTTTTATAGGTAGTGCATGCTGCTTATGTTTTATATGGCTGTGCATATTGGTTATGAAATGTCTTTGTTGTTGTTGTTGTTGTTGTTGTTCTTCTTCTTCTTCTTCTTCTTCTTCTTCTTCTTCTTCTTCTTCTTCTTCTCCTCCTCCTCCTCCTCCTCCTCCTCCTCCTCCTCTTCTTTCTCTTCCTTTTTCTTCTTCCTCCTCTTCCTCTTCTTCTTTCTCTTCTTCCACTCCTCTTTCTTCTCCCCTCCTCTTTTTCTTCCTCCTCCTCCTCCTCCTCCTCCTCCTTTCTTTTCTTCCACTCCTCCCCTCCTCTTTCAACTTCTTCTCCTCCTCCTCCTTCTCCTCTTTTTCTTCCTCCTCCTCCTTTCTCTTCTTCCACTCCTCCTCCTTCTCCCCTCCTCCTCTTCTTCATCTTCTTCCTCTTTTTCTTCCTCCTCCTCCTCCCTCTTCCTCCTCCTCCACAGTTCACAACTGTTTGCTCCCTCCTCAGTCACTGTTGTTACCGTTCGGTGGACGGAGTTTCTAAGGCCAGCTTCTTCTCGATCTTGCAGCGGTTCTCCCTTCAACCTATAACATCAGCAGTGGTGGCTGAGCTGAAGTTCCTGCATTCCAAGAAGAGAATGTATAAAAGGAATGGCCTCATGGCCAACGTGACCGTGACTTCTGCCACTCCAGAGGTAATACCAGTTTCCGTTGCAACTTGGAACAAACCATAGCTTAAAATGGGGCGTCTCTTAGCAGACCGTCTAACGCTGAATTTCTTCCGATTACTTAAAAAAATAGCGCTGTACAGAGAATGATTAGTTTTGTATCCTACCGTCCCAACCGTCTTTAATGGGGCTGTGATTCTGCCTAGACCAGTCATGGAGTTTGGTGGGAAATGTCCCATTTAGAATAGAATAACAGAGTTGGAAAGGGACCTTGGAGGTCTTGTAATCCAGCCCTTACACCACTTCAGACAAAGGGTTATCCATCCTCTTTTTAAAAACTTCCAGTGATGGAACACCCTTAACTTCTGGTGGCAAGTTGTTCCCCCGATTAATTGTTCTCACTGTCAGGAAATTCCTCCTGAGTTCTAGGTTGCTCCTCTCCTTGATCAGTTTCCACCCGTGGCTTCTTTTTCCTGCCTTCTGGTGCTTTGGGAAACAGGTTGAGTTCTTTCTCTCCCCCCCTTGCAGATGAACACGGGGTCCTTGGTGCTCTCTGATCTTGGTAGTTTCCTTGCAGACGTTTCATTACCTAACTAGGTAACATCATCAGTGCTGGAAGGCAGTAGGGGTTGTGGAGTGGAAGAGGAGGGTGGAGGAGGAGGGCTGTGGGGTCCTTGGTGCTCTCTGAGCTTTCCTTGTAGACATTTCATGACCCACCTAAGCCAGGGCTAGTAGGGAGTGCAAAGTGCTAACAGGGAGAGCAATGCCCACTCCCTACAACTCCTGATGGTATTGCCTAGTTTGGTAATGAAACGTCCTCAAGAAGCTCAGAGAGGACCAAGGACTCCATAGTTAGCTTAGTTTATTGTCATTGCACCTCGTACAGTGAAATTTAAATGCCATCTGAAGTTTATAACTATAAAAATAAAACACAAACACACAATCCTTTGCATCCTATGCCATTGAATTGAGTAGAATTCAGTTAAATAGAATGCCTTAAAGTCAACAATAGGTTTGTAACTCCAAATAAAAAGAACTAGGGACTGGAAAGATTAAAACTCCTGAATGCTCATCCTTGATTTAGCCGAATTCCAGCTGTGTTCCTTGAAGGGATGTTTCCTCGAAAGGGTCACTATTTAATGCCTTCCGTAATGGAGGTTAGATTTTTCCATGGTGCTTAAAATATTTCCTCCTAACTGAACAGGATCGATCTAAGACCTAAGAAAGGATTTCCTGCCTTCTCATGTACTGTCAAGGAGGCCTGTTTGGCGACGGATTTAAAGGCCGAAATGTTTTCAGATTAGCTAACTAGCTGGATGTGAAACAACTCCAGATGTTTTTTTGGAAACACGGTGTGGTGGTTCTGGAGAATTGGCTTAAATGGAAGAGAGTTAAATGTTCCTCATCTGGGCAACCTCATCCCTTTTTGTGGATAGCCATGTGGGAATTAAACCCAATATTTATTTAATCAACAAATTTACACATGCTGCTTGCTAATTGCTTCTTAAACATTTACAAGTGGAAAGGGTTTTAAGGGAAATTCTTTTTTTTTTAGATTAGGATTATGATCATGGCGGTCATTTATCTCTGCAAATTTGTAACTCTTGTAAAATATATTGCCCTCCTCCTCCCTTCCTTCCTTCCTTCCTTCCTTCCTTCCTTCCTTCCTTCCTTCCTTCCTTCCTTCCTTCCTTCTTTCTTTCTTTCTTTCTTTCTTTCTTTCTTTCTTTCTTTCTTTCTTTCTTTCTTTCTTTCTTTCTTTCTTTCTCCTCCTTTTCTTTCTTTTTCTTCTTTCTTCCTCCTCCTTCTTCCTCTTCCTCTCCTTCTCCTTCCCTTACTCCTTTTTCTTCTTTTCTTCCTCCTCCTCCCCCTTTCCTCCTCTTCCTCCTCCTCCTCCTGCTGCTGCTGATAGTTAAGATCATATGGTATCTAGTCTTTTAGGCCACAAATTAGTTTAGGAAACTTCTACTGTTGTTTTTACACACTCGAGTTATAGCAGTTCACAGCTAATGTCTTGCAGATGGAAACAGTTTACTGGGCTTATTTGCTCAAGACAGAGAAATTCTTCCCATGTTTGTTCAAAAGAAGACATCTGTCACATAGAAGCAGTTCAGACATAAGCATCTTGGCCTAGTTCGAATACCTTGTTTACTAAACAGGGCAGACTTATTCTGCATACATACATATTCATGGCATTTAAGGTTTCTTTCCATTCCGTTTCACTGCGTGGTTTTACACTTAAAATAGCTGGGAGTGTTGATGTTATGGAGTTCCTACAGCTAGAACGATTATATTCTTCTGGGGCTGATTGAACACTCTGCACCCCTTTAGGAAATCTGATTTTTAAGCTGCACCTCCTCCTCAGTAAAGCTGTCTAGGGTGGCAGTTTTGCTTTGCAACTGTGTCTGGCAAGATTTGAACATGCTTTGAACAACGTTTGTGCATATCCATCCCTCCCCCCGTTCTTATTTACATAATAATGTTTTTTGCAAATAAATCTTGATCTGGGTTTATTTCCCCCCAATTTGCATTGTTAATGCTTAACTAATCAAGTTATCCCTGATATCTTCGACCAAACTCCTTAACGCTTGAGCTAGATTTAAAACTGACATAATTTGTCAGCAACCCAGGACAGATTACAGGATTACCTCTGCTCTGTTTTATAACTCTAGAGAGCAAATAACCCCAGGTAGTGAGCTGACATATTCTTTTACATTTGAGGGGGGAAAAAAAGTCTTGTAATTGGAAACAGGAGCAAATAAATCGCCGTATTTTTCAGAGTATAAGACACTCCAAAATATAAGACCCACCTAGCTTTTGGAGAGGAAAACAGGGGCGGGGGGGGGGGCGGGGAATCTGCCTCTGCCTCCCAGCCATTTGCCTCCTTGCAGCAAACAGCCTGTTTCAGCTTAGGGCTTATTTTGGGAGTAGGGCTTATATGGGGCAAGAACATGTAAAAATGAAGGTAGGACTTAATTTCGGGGTAAGTCGTATTTTCGGGGAAACAGTGTATCACCTGTCAGCGGTGAAGAGAAGGGTTGTGTTAGAACACCTGTACTTCCATTCTCTTGTCTTGGGAATATTTATCACAGATTATTTGAATGTCTTTAAGCTGCGAGCTGCCCAGAGCCGCTTCTTCGAAACAAGATGGCTCCAGCAGATACATAAAGCAGAAATTAAAATAAATGAAGTCACCCATTCCTTCCTTCCTTCCTTCCTTTTCCCCGCTTCTAGGTCAGTAGCAGTTCTGACTCTCTGGAAGGACAGAGTTCGGATTATGCTCACAAGAGCTACGATGCCGTCGTGTTTGACGTGCTAAAAGTAACTCCAGAGGAGTTTGCGGTAAGTAAAAAAGGTTTGCATCTTGAAGTATGCTGAACAGTAGTAGCCGTAAGTACTAAAATAAGTTCCTGCTCAGTTAGTTGTAGTCAGCTGGTTTTCCACACATTAGATCAGTGCGTTCTCTCTCTCTCTGTCTCCTCCCTTTCTTTCGCTCTCCTCCCTCCCCTTCTCTTTCTTCCCCCCCTCTCTCCCTCCCTCTCCCTTTTCTCCTCCATCCCTCTCTCTCTCCCTCTCCTCTTTCTCTCTTCCTCTCTCTCTCCCTCTCTCCTCCCTTTTCTCTTTCTCCTTCCTCCCTCTCTCCCTCTTCCTCTCTTTCCCTCTTTCTCCCTCTCCCTTTCTCTCTCTCCCTCTCTCCCTCTCTCCTTCCTCCCTCCTCTTTCTCTCTCTCCTCCTCTCCCTCTTTCTCTCTCCCTCCTTTTCTCTTTCTCCTCCCTACCTCTCTCTCTCTTCCTCCCTCTCCTCTTCCTCTCTCTCTCCCTCTTTCTCTTCCTCCCCCCTCTCTATAGTCGTATTACTAACTTAACATCTGCAGTGATTTGCATAACAACTGTGGCAAGGAAGGTCATAAATGGGGCAAAACTTACAATAAACATTTCGCTTCAGTTTGTGGTCATAAGTCCAGGATCTCCATGTCCAGCGTTCCGAAAAGACTGGAATGATTCCTAAACGAAGGGATTTGGCCCTTGGCCTCTTAAGTAGCCGTAAATGAGTGACCACCTCAGCTGCATTTGAGAATAGCTGAGGAAAATCAAAACGCAGCCTCTTGGTCATTGGTGTCAACCCAAGAGCCTTTTAATGGTTCAGTTCAGCGCAACAGCCTGTGAATTTGGACACACTGGCATCCTTCTAGACAGATCCACAATGGGCTTGCCAGATGTCAGTTTTTCCACAATGCATAATTGTTCTTCCTTTCATTTTTTTATCATAGAGTCAGATTACACTGATGGATATGCCAGTATTTAAAGCTATACAGCCAGAGGTAAGTGACAGAACGTTGTTAAGAAGAGCTCTTAAGCTCTGGTTTGTTAGGACAGTTCTAGATCCACTCACTGACTGTTTTCCTTTTAAGAAACGGGTTTCATTCATATCCTATCATGTTACATTTTGATGGAAGAGAATATTTGTAGCTCAGGGTTTGAACTGTGGGATCCTTGATGCTCTCTAGGTTTAGGGGGTGCCTCACAGACGTTTCATTACCCAACTAGGTAACATCATCAGTGCTGGAAGGGAGTGGAAAGTGCTAGTAAGCGCTGGAGCAAACCCCACTCCCGGCTAGCTCTGATGTTGTTGCCTAGTTTGGTAATGAAACATCTGCAAGAAAACCAGAGGAGTTAGAGAGGTTATCTTTGGTGCTCTCTGACCTTGGTAGTTTTCTTGCAAACGTTTCATTACCCAACTGTCTTACTTACCTGCTGAACTAAAGTGAAACTGAGGACTGTTTCTGAGCTCCCGAGTTACTGTTCTGCTCTGAACCCGTGACCTGTCTGCTTCTGTCTTGAGTTTGCTCCACGTTGGAGACATCTATAAGTGGTATTGTAAAATTGACTTTATGTGTTTATAAAGAAGTTAAATGAAGCCTCAGCCATCTGTGTTTACTTTTCTGACGCCGAATTTACGCTGTGAAACTCTGAACAGTAGCTGGGTTGACTTCACTTATGGGATGAACTGAGCCTGAAAGCAGATGCCACATCCTCCTGAACCCTCAGCGCGAGCGCTGGACGCCCGTCAAAACTTTCGTTCTTCCAGCTTCCTCAAGTAGGCTTTCGATAGGACCCATGTGTTTGACTGCACATGGCCAGGCCACTCAGCTAAAGTCTGGCAGAAGACAGGGGGAGTGGGGGGAATGGCAGATGTTGTAATAGACAGAGGCTGTTTATTTATTTATTTATTTTAATCCCCTAAGAAATGGAAAAAATGGTAATTTTTCCTTCAAATTTCTAGTAAACGCAGCCAGAACATTTTATATATAATTGTTTATCTGCAGTTTAATCGGCAACATATGTACTGTGTGTCCCCAGGACTAATTAGACTTCTGGTGATTACGTTGCTAACTTTTCCAGCTGTCTGGAACTCTAAACTTTAAAACTCTGCTTTGTGTAAAAAGGTCTTTATTCTCTAAGGAAGGATATTCTCTTATTCTTGAGATTGGGTGATACCTTGTTGATCAAACCATGTGATCAAGCCATGCGGAGCTTCCGTAAAAGGATATATATATATATTTGAGGAAGTAAAGTTTTTATCACGGATACAGATTAACGGAGTGCGAAGGGACCTTGTAGGTCATCTAGTCCAACCACCCACCCACCCCCCGGGCTTGGCTGTTTCCTTGTAGACGTTTCATGACCCAACTAGGTAACACCATCAGTGCTAAAAAGGAGTGTGGTTTGCAAGGAAGAGGAGGAGGAGGAGGCAGGAGAAGGAGAGGAGGAAGAAAAGAAGGAAGGATGGACGGACGGATGGAAGGAAGGAAGGAGAGGAGAACAACTGTGGGATCCTTGGTTGCAGATTTCTCATTTCACCCCTAGTAGGGAGTGAGGTTTGCTCCCAGTGTGTATATTCTAGCAGCTTGCCTTGTCTGTCTAATGTTAAGCTCTGCTCATCTGAGTGTTACTACTGGTGGGGAGAACTGCTTGTACCCTTGAGAGTTTATGCAACAACAGGTTGAGAACGCTGGACGATCAGTTCGTTCTAGTCAATTTTGAGAACCGAAAGAGGGTTTTTCCCTAGCCTGCTCTGTGGGATTTCAAGGAGGCCATTGTTTTGCTTACATCACTCACATATGTTATTTTAAAATAAACTAATCACCCTCGTTGGAAGGAACACAATTGCTGTGATTATTCCTGGACGTTTGCTGCTGTTTAAAAAACTGTTGCATTAATCATTGGTAACTCCCGCTATTATCCACGGGAGAGTAATCAGAACAATACATTAAATCTTTCTTGGGAAACACGGTCCAACTTCAAAACACACACGCACGCACAAAACCCACCTCGGGATGAAACTTCCACTAGAAATGGAAAATCTGCTTTCATATATATGAAAGGAAGAGGTTGTTAATTAATAGGTTAATAATGCAACGTACCTGTGAAGGTCTTGTGTTTATTGACTCAAATAATATTACTGTGTTAGATTCTCAGGTTATCTGCCAATTCTCGTTTCTTTCACATTGCCATAAGAAAATTAAATGCTACCATGTGTATGTGTTTCCTAGCGTAAGAAAGCTTAAGATCAGGTGGTATGTACCTAAAAATGGATGGATGGATGAGTGGGTTATATGAATTGCGGAGGTCTGGGCAGCATATAATTGTTATATATACATTGTTATGGTTGGTTGCACAGCCAGTTGTTTAGACTGGATTTGGCATTTATTATTATGATCGTTGTTGATGATGATAAGTAATAACCACCATTATCTTGGGAAAACGTAGCAGCTTCTTATAGAGCATGTGTTCAGCAAAACATTTTCCTGCCATTGAAGCGGAGGGAAGAATTATTACCATGACATCATCATAATAAAAACTAAAAATCTAATTTCTGCGTCTGTCAGAAGGTTCTCCTTATCTCCATCTCAGAATAAATAAAGAGAAAACGTTTGCAAAAGATAGCTTGCCACTCTACTCCAAATCCGCACTGTAGTAACGGGAAAGCCATTAGCAGCTTTCTAGAGTGAAAAATAGCTAAATGGGTTTTACCTATCCTATTTCTGCTTGCTTTCAGCATCTCGGCGCATTCAAAAGCTTTGGCAAATTTATTCACATTACCCTTGTCTTGTTTAGTGAGTGTTTATATAAGCAATGTTACCCAGCCAAGGGTTGACAGTAGAAAAAAAGACCACAGTAGGTTAAATAAAAATAATCTCATTTAAGTTGCTTGCCTTGTGGCAGTGAATTGCTTAGCTCAGGGACTGATAAAAGCAATAAATCTCTTTTCTCCTGCAATATTTTTCCTACAATAAGCAAGAGGGAGAGGCCGGTCTGGGAAGTATCCGTGGCTTCTCTAAGGGGTGTGCAGAGGCATTGTGTGCAAACTTTGTTAGCCCCAACATCCATCCTCAAAGCCCGTTTATTTCCAACGGAAGTTTGCTTCAGTGTAAACTATACATCGGAGGCATTAGCAGAAGTGGCTGGTTCTTGACTGCATCAACAAACGGCTGGCCAGAGGGATTAGCCGTTTTATTTCTATCTTGAAATGATTTGTAAAGCCGTCCATCTCCCAGCTGTGCTTCTTGGCGTGTACAAAACAGGGTTGATGTGGGTTTGTTCCCTAGTTCTCCACCTCTGGTTTTCAGAGGAGAGAAGGCCTCCTCCTCCTCCTCTTCCTCTTCCTCTTCTCCTTCTCCTTCCTCCTCCTCCTCCTCCTTTCGTCCTCCTCTTCATACTCTTCATCTTCCTCCACCTCCTCACAGACCCCACTCCTTTGTAGCACTGATGATGTTGGGTAATGAAACATCTGCAAGAAAACCACCAAGCTCAGAGACTACCAAGAACCCCACAGTTCAACCCCAAGCTGCAAATATTCTCTTTTAAGTGTTCTTTTCCTTCTAAAAAACTGACTAGAGGTTATAGGAAGCAGCCAAATGTTTTTTTGCATTCATGGCCCATTTGGGGTCCGGATTCTGCAAATATGATGCCTTCCCTGTACTTAGTTTTCCAGCTGATTCTTCATAGTCTGATGGGGAACTGAGCCGAATCAGAATTCGTGTCTGTATTGCAGACAAGACTAAATGTAAGTGCCTTTAGCCATTTAAATCCCACAGGATAATGCTGAGGCCCTTTTTGATATACATATTTCTCTCGGTCTTTCGCTTTTCTCTGACCCTGAGTTTTTGTGATGAAAATGAGCCATTTGTTTAATTATTATTAACCACCCTGCCGTTGCATTTTCTAGGAACTTGCAAGTTGTGGATGGAATAAAAAGGAAAAACACATCCTCGCCCCGAATGTTGTTGCCTTTACCAGGAGATTTAATCAGGTAACGGGGATTTATTCTGAATTGTAGAAAGTTCGCCCTGCGAAAAACCAGGGAAAAAAAAACGGAATTGTGACAGGGCTGCTTTGTCCTTCCAGGCGATGATAATCATTTTATTTGATGAATTTGAATGTAATTGTCATAGAGTTTCCTTCTATCCTGCAAATATGAAGGAGAGAGAGACAAGCAGTTCATTTAGTAACCATTCAAAGTTCCAACGGCGCCGAAAAAAAAGTGACTTATGACCATTTTTCACACTTACGACCGTTGCAGCCTCCCAAATTCGGGCATTTGGCAACTGATTCATTCTTACGATGGTCGCATTGTCCCGGGGCCGTGTGATCCCCTTTTGATGACCAAAATCAACGGGGAAGTCAGGATTCACTCAACAACCACATGACCAAGTTAACAAGGGCGGTGATTTGCTTAGCAGCGGCGGCAAGAAAGATAGCAAAATGAGGCAAAACTCACTTAGCAACAGAAATTCCTGGCTCAATTTGTGGCCGCAGGCCTGTAATTATTTTTTTTTTTATCGGATTTTTCAAAGCTGGAAGATGGAGATCAAAGTAAAGATGCAGACTTTCAGTGAAAGAACTTTGAAGTCGGGGAAAAAAAAACATTGTTTTGTTTTGAAAATTGGAAATAAGGTTGCCCTTTGGACAAAACTTTTGTCTGTGTAAGTTTCGGGTTTTTTTTTTTTATAAAAAATGGAGGAACAATTTGAAGCAATAATTGACATTCTTGGTTGTAAACAAGTTGTCGAAACACTTTCTCCCTCGCTAATGCAACCGTGTCTGTTTGAAATTTACAGATGTAGATAAGTTTAAAAAAAAAAAGTTGATAAATAACTTTTCTGGCTGTGCTCAAGAGTTCTGCAGGAGAGGAATGAATGCAACCCAGTCCTTACTTAACGAAATCTGTAGATTTGTGATAAATTATTCAGTTCACTAAAATCCCAGGGGACAAAAAAAAGAAGAAGAAGAAGAAGAAAAAAGCAACAGCTTGAAGTGAAGCCGAATCCAGCTGGGAAAAGGAAGCCAATAATAAACAGCTCTTTTTTTTTTAATGAGCAAGGGGGATATAAATACAGACTTGAAATAGCTCCATTTGTAAGGGATTTGCATTCTACATTATGCACTTAACAGGGGTGGGTTTACATTGGTAGTTGTAGTGAACATAAACAATTACGGTTTTTAGAGGAGTTTGGTATTTTCCCAGGCTGCAAATCACTTGTATCTCATACTAAAGGAGGCATGTCGTTATTCAAAGCAGCTGCCTGAACTATTTCGCCTTCTATTTCATCCACAATTTGTGCTTCGAATGCTAGATAACGTAGCCTCACTCTTCATCCCGCGCTGACGAGACACTGTTAAGTCCTTAACTTACTCCAGTTCGTTTAGTGACTGTTATTCTACTTGCTTAACAGCTGCGTTACTAACTTAACAACCTCACTGATTCACTTAACCCCCGAAAGGTCATAAAACGGAGCAAAAGTGCATATGCAACAACTGCCTGAGGGCTTTTAGCAGCAGAAAGGTCGGGCTCCATTGTGGTTTCTTTCATTGTGAGTTCTGCCTGTATATCATTCTGGCCTCTTCAGTTTTGGTCCATGGCTGTGACTGTCTCTGAACATGCCAGTCTATGCTTTGCCCGTCACGATCCCTCATCCTAAAGAAGCGTTAACTCTCTGAAATTATTCTTCGTAGGTCTGTTTCTGGGTGGTACGAGAAATTTTAACAGCACAGACCTTAAAAATAAGGGCAGAGATCCTCAGCCACTTCGTGAAAATAGCCAAGGTGAGTTTGGGATGTGTTCTTTTTCATTCTTTCTCGAAATATCGTTTCTTTTTGATAGCAACCCTGCCTTCTTTGATATTGCTGGGAACAATATCTTTCTTTCTCTCTTTCTTCCTCTCTCTCTCTTTCTCTCTCTTTGCTCTTTCTTTCTCTCTCTTTCTTTCTCTCTTTCTCTCTCTCCCTTTCTCTCTCTTTTACTTTCTTCTTTCTCTCTCGCTTTCTTTCTCTATATGTGTCTTTCTTTCTTTCTTTCTTTCTTTCTTTCTTTCTTTCTTTCTTTCTTTCTTTCTTTCTTTCTTTCTTTCTTTCTTTCTTTCTTTCTTTCTTGTAGGGATAACTTGGTCAACAGAATTGTGAGTGGCTCCAGGCTTGATCCAAACTTCCGAAGGGCCCATCCCCGCTGATTTCCTTGCTCAGGGCATATAAATTACTTCATTCATTTGTCAAGCCAGCCCAAAGGCTTAAAAGCTTCCATTCTCAATCCCTGAGAATTTATTTCCCTCTTTCTGGTATTCCCACCTTGAAAAAAAACCTGACAGGAACTTCCTGTGAGGTGGGCTGAGTAGACAAACTCCCCCCCACCCCCGCCTCCTCCTCAGAATCACCATTAAAATCTGTGACAAGCCCGGGTTAACATCACAGCCGCCGCCCCCGAATCTGAAGCCTGGAGATGCCAAAATATCTTAAGCCAGGAGTGCAGAAACTTTCTAATTTGCTTCGACTCTCACAAAAACCGTTGAGAAACGAACCGTGTAACCGAATCCCCTGCCTCCTGACATCTGGTCTTTGCATTTGGTTAAGTTTTTGCACCAAAAGTCAGGCCGAGTCTTCTGACTCTTCTGTAATTTACAGTGCGAACAGCAAACGTCTGGAACAGCAATTATTTTATTGAACAGGCTGGAGCATTCCAAACCCATGTGGGAAACCGATGGCATTTTGGTCTTTTTTTTTTTTCCCCTTCTCCTCTCCTTTTTTTCCCCCCTCAGAAACTTCTAGAACTGAACAACCTTCATTCGCTCATGTCTGTGGTCTCAGCTCTCCAAAGTGCACCCATTTTCAGGCTGACCAAAACCTGGGCCGTAAGTTACTCTGATTTTTTTTGTTTTGGATTTCTTTGGCATCCTAAAACCCATCTCCCCCAAAAGGCTGTTTCATTTCCTGCTGCATTGGGTTTCAAGGAGGTCCTCGGCATACGGCCGCAAATGAGCCCAGCATTTCTGTCACGAAGCGAGACAGTTTTGCCCCGTTTTACGCCTTTTCTGGCCACCGTGGTTAAGTGAATCACGGCACTTGTTCCGTTAGCAACATGGTTTGCTAAGCGAATCTTGCCTTCCCCGTAGAGTTTCCCTGTCAGAAAGTTGCTAAGCGGGATCACGTGATGCCCCCATCACCGTCATAAACATGAGTCAGCTGCCAGGCATTTTGACCTGGTGACCCTGGGGATGCTGGAACCGTCGTTAAGTGTGAAAAATATGCCACTGTAACTTTGGAGCGAACGTTTGTAAGTCAAGGACTGTGTCAACTCATAAAACATCCCTCTGTCTGTTTTAGTAGTTGCCATAAAAAAAAAAGGAGGGGGGAAGGTTTTTTTGAAGTTTGGCTCGAGGATCATGATTGAATTAGGGAGATTGCTAGAATCCTCTATAGGGGAAATGGATGTCAAATGGTCACTAAATGAACTTTCGTAAGTCGAGGGCTACCCGAATTCCATTTTTTTCCAAGAGAAGAGGCATCTTCAGTTTTGAGAGTTTAAAATGAGAGGAGCTACACTGACAGCTTTCCCGGCGGTGTTTACAAACGCATAAAAATCACATTTTAACATTTATAATCGGCTGGCGGAAAGAGAAGCAGTGATTTAAGGGCAGGATTCCTAAAATCGCTTAGAAGTCAACTGCGCTGAGGAGGTCTTAAGTATTTCATAAATAAATGAAAATAAACAGAGCTCAGCTTCCTGTGCAATTGCTGTTGCTCAAGGCGCGCATATATTCGCTTTCCCTCCCAGTTTCCCCTAAACATTATTCACCGTTTTTGGGTTTGCAAAATTCTTTTAATTAAATCTCTGCCATGTGACGTCAGCTGCTTCTCTGCTCTTCGCATACTAGCTGCTTGTGTGTGTGGTTGTTGTTGGTGGTGGTGGAAGCTACGGTTAGGAAAATACGTTTTGTAAGTGCTTTAAAACGCCCACTGAGTTGTGACAGCTGTCCATTTAATTTCCGACTCCCAAATGTCACAGGATGGATAGTAGCCCATGGTGGTGGTTGATGTTGAGAATCTAGAAAGAGGGCAGAGAAGAGCAACCAGGAGGATTAAGGCACTGGAGGCTAAAACATGCGAAGAACGGTTGCAGGAACCGGGCATGGCTGGTCTAGGGAAGAAGAGAAGGACCAGGGGAGACAGGAGAGCATCTTCCAATATTTGAGGGGCTGCCATCAAGAAGGGGGAGTCAAGAAGGGAGAAGCAACAGATGGAAACTAATCAAGGAGAGAAGCAACTTAGAACTCAGGAGAACTTTTCTGACAGTGAGAGCAATCAACCAACAGGAAGCGGGTGTGTAAAGAGGGATTTTGGAGCAATTCGGAGTGCGCTGATCCTTTATGCACATTTTATATTTTCTCGGGACAGGAAATGATAGATTAGAACAAAAGGCTCGGTACTGAAACCGTGGTGTTGGATATATATATATATATATTTTCTTTTCCATGATTTTGGCAGCATGTTGGAGATCTAGCAAAACTCCTCTTTGATAACAGCTTTTTTTGGGACAGGGGGTTGTCTCGGTTTAACTGCGGCTCATCGAAAACATTCCATTCTTATGACACAAGGGTAGGATGATTTTTTTTTAAAAAAGAGATATACTTTCCAAGGATAATAAGAGGGGAGTCCTTCTCTTCACATCTGGAACCCAGTGAACAATTGCCTTAATTATAGAGAATAGAGAGCTAATAGCATCTTCGGTGCAACAGATCGTTTAACATTTTCCGTCGGGCTTTTTAATGGCGCTTGGAAGGAGTTTAGATTTATCATGGAAGTGAATAGCTGGCCTGTGGCAGGGAGGAATGATGTCTCCACACAAGTAATGAATTGGAGCAGCCCCTCCTTGGCTAGAGGCATCCATAGCTTGGCAGAATAACAGAATGACAGAGTTGGAAGGGGCCTCGGAGGTCTTCTAGTCCAACCCCTTGCTCAAGCAGGAGACACAATACCCTTCCAGACAGATGGATGTCCAGTCTCTTCTTGAAAACCTCCAGTGATAGGAGCACCCACAACTTCTGTTCCACTGATTAATTAATTGTTCTCCCTGTCAGGAAGCTTAATTCCAGCTTGCTTCTCCCCTTGGTTAGTTTCCATCCATTGTTCCTCGTCCTGCCTTCTTGGTGCTTTGGATAATAGCTTGACCCCTTCCTCTTCTTTGGGGCAGCCCCTCAAATACTGGAAGGCTGCTACCATGTCTCTCCTCGGTCCTTCTTTTCACTAGACTAGACATACCCAGTTCCTTCATGTTTTGTTTTGGCCTCCAGCCCGCGTCCTCTTGGTTGAAAGTTGGCCTTTCAATCCAACCTGGGCAGTGCGACCAAAACGTTGCGAATCGATCTCTTTTGCTACCTCACCCCTCTCCCTATAATCCAGATTACCTTTTCTCTGTTTCTTTCCCGGCCTTCTTTCCCCCTTCTGGATCTCAGGTCTTTGTGCATTTTTTTTTTTTAGAAAACAAAAGAAGAAATGAACGTTGTTTAGAACTATTCTAAGAGAACGTGCTCCCTTGTATAAACATTCCCTAACATCAGCGGGAATTCAGCCTCCCTTGAAAATTCAGTAGGAGTTGCTAATCGGCCAAAATGGACCCGATTCTAGCCATGACTGGACCTTTCCCCGTCTCGTTACTTCATCTCAAAACAATAATAAAAAAAATCTTCTGTCTCTGTTATTAGTGACAAGGAGCCGAACTCTCTGTGTGTGTTTGTGTGTGTGTGTGTGTGTGTGTGTGTCATCTTTTGGGAATGAGGGACAAAAATGGCAACCTTTCAAGCATTTCCCAAAATTAAGTTGGGCGTCCTTTTAAGTCAGAAGGCAACACTCCCAAGATCTCTTTCTTAGAAAAGGAATTAGAAAAGAGCCTCGAATCGGGGAAGGCGTCGCTTAACTGGGAGCACATGGGATTTTTTCCTCATGCTTTGAACATGTGCGCAAACCGTTTCAGGGCCGAAAACAACATCGTTAAAATTAGAGACTTGTCCAATTTTGATGGATCGGGTATGTAACTCAACAGGAAAGTTTTCAAGTCATCCGGTGGGTTGGTTTTTCCCCCCCCATGATTTGTGAAACTGCACTACAAAGGGACCCAAAGTTCAGATAGTCCTCGTCTGTTGGGCCCCAAAATTTTTGTCGTTCAGCAAGACAGTTGTGAAGTGAACTTGGGTCCATTTTACGACGTTTTTTGCCACGGTTGTTTACCCGAATCCCTGCAATTCGTTAACTCAGTGACACGGCGGTTCAGCAAATCTGGCTTCCCTGTCAACTTAGCTTGTAAGAAGGTCACAAAATGGGATCGCGTACAACCGTCGTAAATGTGAGTCCGTTGCCGAACATCTCCAACGGTTGTAAGTGTGAAAAACGGTCCCTCCCAACTCCGATATTCTATCCTAAATGTCTTTGCACGTCTTTGTACTTTGCAAAGGAAGGAAATATAAAGACAGAAAGGCTGTTACCCTGTGTTTTAACCCTTTAAAGAGTTAATACAAGAGGGACGTCGTGACTCAGTGGCTAAGATGCTGAGTTTGTCGATCCGAAAGGTCAGCAGTTCAGGGTTCGAATCCCTAGCGCCGCGTCATGTCATGGAGTGAGCTCCCGTCCCTTGTCCCAGCTTCTGCCAACCCAGCAGTTCGAAAGCATTATTCTTTTTATTAGTATATTATTATATTTTATTATATTATATTATATCATATCATATATTATATTATATTATATTATATTATATTATATTATATTATATTA